CAGCACAATCCGTAGCCTGTAGTTTCCAACGCTCCCTATCCTTGTAATCCCGCATAAACTGTATAGTACTGGCATTATCCCCCTCGATAATAACCCCGTCCGCCTCAAACATCCAGTCGAGCACAAGTCTATATATGTATCTAAAGGCCAAAAGCTCAACCTGAGTGCTGTCCCAGTGCTTGATATCCCATCCCGCCGCGGCAACAAGAAGCCCCTTGTCATCTTATATAACAATACCAATTCCACCAAGATTAGATATGCTGAGAGCCCCATCCAAATTGATCTTCAACCAGCCTATAGGGGGGGGGGGGGACACCACGAGGAAGACGATGACAGTCCGATGGATTGAAGGACATCTCGTTGCTCCAGGGGAAGAGAGAACCAATCTTGGTTGAGCACCTCAAGGACATTAGCAGCCAACATCTTGGGGGAAGAGACCCCTTGCCATGCTTGTAAGAATTCCTATTGCACCAGCACACATGGACCGCCACACAGTATATTCGCCGCCTGTCATCATGCGAGTCCCTGCTCCGTGATAATGCCTCCTGAAGCACGGAAATGGAGGGAAACCGGGGCACCAAAAATCCCCAACTAGTCAAAACATCCAGAATGGCCTCCAAGCACATGCAGCGAGTGGTAATGTGATCAATATCTTCAGTCGCATTGCAGCCAAGGGGGCACATGGGGTACGTCTACAGCTTGCGACCACACAGCCAAGCATTGGTAGGGAGCTTGTCACTGTACACCCTCCACCAGAACAGTCACATACATGGATGAAAGACAAGTTTCAAAATCGTGCTAATGGGATCATCCTCCTCCTCAAACAGCTTATTATAAACCATGGCTGAAACAGTAGACCCCAAGGGATTTCTAAGAAGCTCCATGCAATCCGAGACCATATCCCCACCCAATTGTATCTCACAGATATGATCCACAAGCAGCTCCCCGAAACAGGAAAGGAGTTTCGGCTTTTGCCAGCTGCCGTCCCCAAGCAGGAAGTCTGAAATTATAAGATTTTCGACCGCAGAGATATCACAAAATGTGGGCCATTCAGAGATGGCTCTATCCCATAACCATATATCATTCAACACATCAATGCTCTGCCCGTTTCTGATCTTCCAGCGAATTGCGCTACACAGATTCCTGGCCCCATCACAAATCACCTTCCAACCTCTCGAGAGCCCTCTCGAGGCGCCAAAGACCTCCAAACCATCAGGCTAAGACATCGCTGCAGAAGCCCCAAAGGACTTCCAATGATGTTCCAGGCAATGCGTGCCCAAAGAGCTCCAATCCACTTGACGCTAGCGTGGAAACCAAGCCCGCCCTTGCATCTTGGCCGAGCCACATCCTCCCAGGAAGCATAGTGTAGGCCACGATGGGATGGGTCTTTATCCCAAAGGAAGCTCCGAGACAGCTTCTCGATGTCGTTGAGAACAATCTTAGGGATGATAGTGTGAGTCATCTGAAAAACTGCGGACGGTAACAAAACCGAATTAATCAAAGTCACCCGCCCAGCCATGGAAAGATGTCTTATTCCCCAACCAAGCGTATGATCCCGCGCCTTCTGAACCAGCGGTGCAAAATCCAGCCTCTTCAGTCTCCTCATGGAAAACTTGAGTCCGAAGTACTCCAGTTCATTAACTTTGCAGCAGCCCAGGAGCTTGGCCAACCGGGATTTGGTAGACGTCGGGGTCCGCTTGCTGAAAAGGACCGCAGATTTTGTCCGGTTAACTCTTTGTCCTGTCCACAAACAGTAATCAGTCAAGATGGACATAATGGACCTAACATTTGCAGGGGAAGCACCTGCAAAACAAAGAATATCGTCAGCATAAAGGAGGTGGGAGATAAGAGGTCCCCCCGGCTAATAGGAACCCCCATCTCCCTAAAGTTCTGTTTGAAATGGGCCGACAGCAATTCCGAGCATAGAATAAATAAGTAGGGTGAAAGCGGACACCCCTGCCGGAAGCCACATTCGGCAGAAATCTAGCTCAAAAGTTTCCCATTGACAAGAATGGAGAACTTGGGGCACTGAACACAGCTCAGAAACCACGAGCAGAACTTGGCGGGAACCCCAATATGACTCTAAACGATCTCCAACGTCCTCCAGCTCATTTTATCATACGCTTGTTCCATATCAACCTTCAAGGCGAAAAAACCCCTAGCAGCCTTGGACAGCTTGAACTTGTGAATCAACTCCTAGCCAAGTAAACAGTGCGTCGAAATAGAGCGCCCCTGAACAATGGCAGCTTGTTCCTCAGAAACAATGAGCTGCAACACACCTTTCAATCTGTTGACGAGCACCTTTGCCACAATCTTATAAATTGTGTGGCACAGACTAATGGGCCGGAACTTGGAAGGGTGGTCCGGGCTCAAGACCTTTGGGATTAAGACAACATTCGTCTCCTTCCAGGACGGCTCCATAACCCCAGACCTTTCCCGAGGCCCTGTTCCGGCCTAGAGAATTCAGTGCCTTCAAGATCTCATCCTCCGACACCTCCACCTACAGGAGCACAGCAAATTGCATAATAGAGTCCCGATAGGCCTCAAGAGACGACCATTCTGATTCCACAATGGGCTGTCCCTTCCATTTTTTATCAAAGAATCGAAAGAAGATGTTGGAGATTTCCCCATGCTCCGTTACCACATCGCCAGTTTCATTTTTAATAGATTCGATGCATTTGGTTCTCCTCCTAGCCGACGCCATGGAGTGGAAGAAGCGGGTATTACCATCACCCTCTTCAATCCATTTAACCTTGGCCCTCTGTTTCCACCAGGTCATAATTCGGGTCAGGGTGAAGTTAAGGAGCTGCACCTTGTACCTCAGTTGCTCGGTCTGGCTCTCATTCAAACCATTCGGTTGGCCTTCCAAATCCTGAAGGGTCCAAATCTCACCATCTAGCTCCTCCCTCAGCTTGTTGAGCATCTTAAACTTATTCTTACTCCAAAAGAACAAAGCTTTCAACGTTCTATTACATTTCCTCTGGAGTTGAGCTGCCTCACTACCGTGATCCAAAATCTTCCACTTCTCCAGAACCAAATGTTGAGCCTTGGGGAAGCTCGCCCAAACATCCTCAAACTTGATCCAAGGAGAAAACACATATTTCGGCCTCCCTTGGACAAAGCAAAGAATTGGGCAATGATCAGAAGCGAGTCTAGTAAGGTGGGTAACCTGAAGCCCCTGAAACGCATCCATAATGGCCGAACCCACAAGAAATCTATCCAATCTGGAGAAGATCTTATTTCTCGCATCCTTATTATTGGTCCAAGTAAATACCATCCCCACAAACCCTGGATCCACCAGATCATTCGTTGCCATGAAATCAGCCATATCCCAAGTGGATGGGGAACAAAGGAACGCCCTAGCACCCTTCTTTTCATTTTGAGCCATGATGCAGTTGAAGTCGTCCCCAATCAACAACGAAGAGTCCTAGTTCCGGAGCCTAGAGATGTCATCCCACATCGTACGTCTGATGCAGCGATCCTTGTTAGCATACCACAACAACCTCCCAATCAATGCCGTACGTCATCGTAACTCTACCCATCATATACTGGCTTGCACTAGCAGAGCACAGAAAAGAGAGAATGCTACTCTTCCACAAGATCAAAATACCGCCCACCCTGCCACAGAAAGGTTGGTAAACTAACTCCCATTCCCTGCCAGCCAATCTATCATTGTCCTTCCAATCCACAGAGTCAAGTTTGGTTTCCAGGAGGCCAATAAAGCAAAGATTGTGGGTTCCAATTAGGTGCCATAAATAGAACCCTATTTCCTTCTTACGGGCACCTCTACAATTCCAACAAAGGAAACTAAACATAGGTAACCAAAGGGGAAGCGTCCCCGCCGCACAGGTGCTCCAAGATCTCCTCAGACCCCTTGGAACTGTCGTTACTATGTGTGATAGCATCACTGTCTGTCAACTCATCCATCTTCGGACAACTATCTGGAACCTGCTCCTTGGATAGATCCTCCACCATGTGATCAGCGTTGCTACGAGCCTCAGGCATTTCCTGTCCCTCCTTGGCAGCACCCACTCTGGCCCTCCTAGTCTGAATATTATAAGGTTTCCACACTTTAGTCTTCGAGTCCGAAAACCTTAGGACTCGGGGAACAAGGGGCCGAGCAAGAGAATTATGGGAGCTGGCCTCCCTAGGATGCCTCCCCCGTCCAGGCCTCTCCTCAGGAAGTCGTTCCTCACTCTTAGATTGATCACATTCCCCCTTATCCTGCTCCTTACTATGAATAATATCCTCCATCACCTGTCCCTCGGCTGTATCCTCCTTACCACCATCCACTCCACTCATAAACATGGGGAATTTCTTGCCCCCATTCAGAGGGGCCCCTACCTGTAACACTTCCACACGATCCGCTTCCGTCTGCACATACACCTTCGCAACACTAGGGGCTATCCCCAAAACACCGGAGCTATCCTTCTCCCTGTCTAAAGGCCCCAGCGATACCGGTCCCCTCGCAATGTCACCCATGTCCTGAGCCCCCTCCAAAGTAGCCCCAATCCGATTAGTCGGATTCCCTAAAGTAGCAACATTGTTGACGGGCCCCTTGTTTGAGGGTTGTGGTTTCAAATTGACCTTAGCTTGTCGGGGTCTTCTTCTCCACGTGACAATGGTCCATTCTCTAGAATCACTGGCCAAATCCTTTGGGTCATAGCCCCCCGAGCTAGTCCCTGTGATCGGCTCAACAACCCCACAGCGATTCGGCATGTTCTCCTTTCCTTGTCCAGTGTTTATCCTACTCGGCCCTTCCTTACTTGGGGGATGCAATGTAGTTTGCAGCACCCGATCCCGACACCCCTCTGCCTTGTGTCCAACCTTCCCGCATTCCAGGAAAATCAGCGGTATGCCTTCATATTCAATTGGTTGAAAAAACTTCCCCCCCCCAGCCGTTTGCCCACACACCTTTAGGCAGTCGTCTCGATAAGTCTAGACAGACGCAAACACGTGCGAACGCGCATCTGTTCCATTGCATAGTCTGTTCGTCCATGAATAACGGTTCCCCAACACCGACCGCCAGCCTAGCAAGTTTCGCCTCATCCCAGTACTCCAACGGTAGGTTAGGAAGCCTGATTCAAACAGACGATGTGAACCTTCTCACCGATTTAGGAGAAAACCCCGCATTCCATTTTTCAACTCCAATAAATTGGCCCGCCACATACCAGGGTTCTCCAATTAAGACATTATCTCTCGCTTCAACATCATCAAACCAACATAGAAAGCAATCAGACGCCATAGGGGTAATCTGGGTTAACCCAAAATGTCCCCACTTTAGTTGGAGCTCATTTTGAACAACCTAGAAAGGTACCCGTCTTCCCAGAAGACTGCCCACCAGAGCACGTTGGAGCTTCTGGACATTTCCCCTGGCTCTAGATAAGTCAACCTGAACAAGACCATCCTCCAAGAGGAAGTCCTGAACATTCCCTTTCAGGTTCAACACCACTGGCACAGGTTTCTTCCAGGCGTTCGTAGCCCTCCTACCATTATCCACATCCATGTGTGTTGCTTTCAGGAAGCTTCGCCCTTGAATTGTTATCTTATTTGTACTTGGGGCAATATCACAAGCACCTGATGAGCGTTCTGAAGGGTTGAAAAAAGCACAGCCTCCAGTAGTCGCCCGATTACTCTTACCCTCCATCTCCGTTTCTAAAAGCTTTCCTCTCTTATCAACACTTCCAAGATCCCCCCTTAAGTCTGGACCTCAACACTGTCCACAGCCATGAAGTATCACATTTATGCCGGGTAGAATACTCAGCATCTGCCACCTTGTAGCTCCCCCCATTCTCAGGCCGGACCTGCCTGTACTCAAGCTCAAAAATGGGGTTGTCCGTCATGGAGTTCCCCACTCTATTAGTGTTCACGGATAAGCACCCGACCTCGCCAAGCTCCAGCAGCCCCGACTGAACACCCTCCATGGCATTCCGGACAGGAATTCCCGGGTCAGCATCCTCCTCCCGAGCCAATGATCCCGCAGCAGATTTTATCTCCTCCAAAAACTCTGCCACCTCCCATCCTCCCAAGATTTCCATAGCCTCAAGCCCCTCAACACGGGGCTGCATCCTCACATCGCGGCCATCACTACCCACGTTCATATTAACCTCCATCAGAGCTTTAGAGAAGGCCGTATTGCACCCCTCCACCCCGGACGATGTCGAAACCAACAGATTCGGCTCCATTTCACCACCGAAAGCTCCCCCCGCTCCCCTAACTGTATGACTCGCCTCTCCACCAGGCGACATGCTTCGCACCACCAACTTCATCGAGGCCACCCCACCACCAGGTTTGGCATTCCCCCCCTTAGCAGGGGAACAGACCTAAACGAGCTGCTTCCGCTCAGATCCCCCAAGACCTGCTCTACTCGAACCCACCACCAAGTGTCTACGATCAACATTCGCATTCCCGCTACCACCCAAACCCGTACCCCCTTCCTGACTCCCAGTGAAAAACCTTCCCCCTTCTCGCTTATTAGCCCTAAGATCCAAACCCTTACCTCCCCTGACCTCCCTCACACCGCTGCTCCTCAACGAGTGACATGCGGCGGCCAAATCGTGCCCTAAGAGAGAGAGAGAGAGAGAGAGAGAGAGAGAGGAAAGAGCAGAGAGAAAGAGAGAGAGATAGAGAGAGAGAGATAGAGAGGGAGAGAGAAAGGGAGATATATATATATATATATATATATATATAGAGAGAGAGAGAGCGAGAGAGGGCAGAGAGAGAGCAAGGGAGAGAGGGGGAGGGAGATATATATAGAGAGAGAGGGAGAGTAAAGGGGAGAGAGAGAGCAATGGAGAGAGAGAGAGAGATAGCTAGATAGATAGATATATAGATAGAGAGAGAGAGCAAGGCCGGAGAGAGAGCAAAGAGTGCGAGAGAGATAGAGAGAGATACAAAGAGAGAGAGAGAGAGAGAGAGAGAGAGAGAGAGGGAGGGAGAGAGAGAGAGAGAGAGAGAGCAAGGGAGAGAGAGAATAAGTGAGAGAGAGCAAGAGAGAGAGAGAGAGTGAGAGAGCAATGGAGAGAGAGGGAGAGAGATGGAGAGAGAAAGAGTATGGGAGAGAGAGAGAGAGTGAGAGAGAGAGAGCTGAAGAGAGAGAGAGTGAGAGAGAGATAGAGAGAAAGAAAGAGAGATGGAGGGAGAGAGATATAGAGAGAGAAAGTAAGGGAGAGAGAGATAGAAAGAGGGAGAAAGAGAGAGAGAGAGGGAGCAAGGGAGAGAGAGGGAGTGAGAGAGAGATAGAGAGCTAGAGAGAGATAGCTAAATATAGAGAGAGAAAGAGAGAGAGAAAGAGGGAGAGAGAGAAAGAGAGAGAGGGAGATAGAGATAGATAGAGAGAGAGAGAGATAAAGAGAGAGAGATAGAAAAGAAGAGATAGAGAGAGAAAGAGAGCAATGCAGAGAGAGAGCTAGATATATATATAGAGAGAGAGAGCAAGGGGGGAGAGAGAGAAAGTGCAAGGGGGAGAGAGAGGAAGAGAGCAAGAGAGAGTGAGAGAGCAAGAGCAAGGGAGAGAGAGAGGGAGAGACAGAGAGAGATGGAGCAAGGGAAATAGAGAGAGAGATAGATAGATTGATAGAGAGAGAGCAAGGAAGAGAGAGGGGGAGAGAGAGATAACTAGATAGAGAGAGAGAGCTGAATATCAGAGAGAGAGGGAGAGGGTGAGAGAGAGAGAGGGAGCTGAATATCAGAGAGAGAGATAGAAGGAGGGAGAGATAAAGAGAGAGACAGAAAGAGAGAGAGAGAGAGAGAGCAAGGGGGAGAGAGGGAGAGAGAGATAACTAGAGAGAGAGCTGAATATCAGAAAGAGAGAGAGAGAGAAAAAGAGCCATAGAGGGAGAGATAAAGGGAGAGATAGAGGGAGACAGAGAGAGATAGAGAGAGAGAGTTGAAGAGAGAAAGTGAGAGAGAGAGAGAAAGAGATAGAGATATAGAGAGATAGGGGGAATGAGAGAGAGGTAGAGAGAGAGGGAAAGAGAGAGAGAGAGAGCTGGAAAGAGAGAGTGAAAGAGAGAGATAGATAGATTGAGAGAGAGAGAGAGGGAGAGTGAGAGAGAGAGGGAGAGAGAGAGAGAGATTGAGAGAGAGTGAGAGAGAGAGAGAGAGGGGAGAGAGAGAGCAAGGGAGAGTGAGAGAGATTAAGGGAGAGAGAGGGGGAGGGAGATATAGAGAGAGAAAGGGAGAGAGAGAGAAAGAGAGAGATAGATATATAGCTTGATAGAGAGAGAGAGAAAGGGGGAGAGAGAGCAAAGAAGGAGAGAGAGAGAGAAATAGAGATAGATACAGAGAGAGTGAGAGAGCAAGGAGAGAGAGAGCAAGGGAGAAAGAGGGAGAGAGAGCAAGGGAGAGAGAGAGTGGTAGAGAGGAGAGCAAGAGAGAGAGAGTAAG